CACGGGATTTACATTGATAGGTGCATTAGCTACATGTTGGCTAGAGTGATCCTTCTCATTAAAAAAAAAAAAAAAACTCTATTCCCTCCCTTTTTGTTAAATCCACTAAATTCAGATTAATCTCTTTTTAATTAGCTGTGATAACTACAAGTGAAATCAATGAGGACTCTGTCAGTATACTCGTCAAGGACAAAAATAAACAACAGTACGTCTTGACGGCCCAGGCCGACTCAAACGACAATATCGAAATAGAGGCTGTGGTAAGGTTATTTGTGATTAATTAAACGCTTTCATTGGGTAGAGGGTTGGGTACTACTAATTTCCTGCATGTGACGTCTCCATGGAAGCACTTTCGACTTTCACGTTTTCCACAATGCATTTTTTCCCTACAAGATTTTGCTAAAGCATTGTTTTCAATTTCTGTTTGAGAAACTTAAAACCCCAATTGGGGAACACAAATTACCTTATGAGGGAAGTGAACGTTGCAGATTGGAAATGACTGCTGGTCTGATGTTGTGTTTTGCTGATTTGCTGATTTCCGTTTTAAATAGGGCAGGAATGACCACAGTGTTATACCGAGAATTTTGAATAATTTTCTCTCAAAACGAAGTTCATTCAGCACTAATTTCAAAAAAACAGATTACAGGTCCGGCGGAAGTAACCGACCAATAAACGAAAGGACTAGACCTAATTCATGATACCCGCTGTCGTTTCAGATGGAATAAGATATTTAAAAAGCGCGTGCAAAGATGGAATAGGATCGATGGGATAAAAGCATTGGCATGTGATATTCCAGTGACAAACAAAAGAATAAAATTTGCCGATGCGAGTAATCGCGGTCTAATTTGTTTATTCTCTGAAAACGATACGACAATTTTAGTTTTTCAAAATGCACAGTTTGAGTTTTGACAAGTTTTACGTCATTATTGCTTGCAATTTTTAGGCTCTGATTGGTCAAAATTTGACAGGTGAGTTCAAGCAGAAAATTTATACAGCGTCTTGAAACTTGTTTACTTTGACAGCTGAAGCTGACAGAGTTTTTTGTCAACTTGTGATGTTTTTTACTGTCTTTTACCTCCTGCAAATAGAAAGAAAAACGTTCCGAAGAGTATTTAGTTACAATTTGGGTTGTAGAAAGAAAGCTTGGAACGATTTTCTTGACTCGAGTTCATTGGCTTTGAAAACAGTAAACACCAGGAAGCCGACTAAAAGCTATAAGCTTAAGCTTAAAGACTCAGGATTTTTAGAGACGCTTTAAAATTGAAAATTGTTGTCTCTGTAAATGTTTCACCGAATTACATTTCTTTCATTGATTGTTAGTAGTCTCTTGTAATTTTAATCGCTTTGCCGTTTGTTTTCAGTCGTTCATAAACATCGCTTGCAGGAGTACTCAAAATGCCGCGCGTATCAAACGCTTTTTAAGATTACACATCGTTATAAAACCATTAAATAATAAAAAAAATAACACAATATGTTGAAGCGTAACTCTTTTAATGTTCACTGAAAATTTGGTGCTTGTCAAAAGTGAGAACCGGCTGGCCGTACAGGTGATTTTGGAAATTTTTTGAACGGTTTTGCTTAAAGCCCACGCGTGCTTCGTACGGTTCTGAATATTGAATGAGTGCAATTCGTCTTTAAAAATTGTGAAATACTTCATTTTGTCTGAGGTCTGTATGACAAAAACAGCGCCTCAGTCATGTTACTGTTTCACCTCAGATGTGATGTATAAAAAGTATGAAATGTTGGTTTACACGCACCCAGACTGTTGGCAAGATTTTGTTAAACTTGACGAACGCAAAAATTCAGCCTGATTTGTTTTCCAAGAATTCGCTTTCCAGGCCTAATCTACTGTGATCAAGAGCCATTATGGCTCTTAAATGTGATCGAAGATGATTGCTATTTTTTGGGTGTATATACACGGCTATCAATTCGATGTAAGATTTTTTTTTTTCACTCTAAAATCACTTAGCCTTAGCTTTCCCTAAAAAGTCACATATGTGCCGTTAAGTTAACTGATTCGTGGATTACAAGTTTATTGTTCGATTATAATCTAGGGGTTCCTTCCGGCAAGTGCCAACGAGGCAAATTCGATAACCTTTTGTGGGATGTGCCTAACGGTCCTTTGTGAATCGGTGGACAATTTTAGGGGTTTGAAATTGATTTGTCTATTATTAATAAAGCCAAAATAAGAATTAATACAGGAGATTGTAAAGGGACTGTAAAAGGGTGGGGTGGTACACCCTTATATTGCCTATACGGGAATGTGCCGCTGGACAGGGTATGGTTTTTGACCTCTCCGTCCCCTATTGTATTTTTACTCTACAGTAATTGGCAATAAATTCATAAATAGCTTTAAACACGACGGAGTTTTTTTTCGTTTATCCTAAACGGAGTATATAATTGGCAATGTTGACCTAAGAGGGTATGTATTTAAGGATATTTTTGTCCTAAACAGGGTCAGGGTTTCAAACCTCGGCGGTTCACCTATACCAAATTATTGGTTGAGTAACTCCCTGAGGGGTTTGAAACAACAACTTTGGTACATTCTAGGTTAACCTGGTCACAGAAGCTTAAAGCGTCTTTGGTAGCAAATCTTCACGGCAAATTTCATTTTATTTCAACGATAAACGTTAGGTAATCAATCCTTGAAAATTGAACTTGAACAAGTTAATAACAAGCTGTGTCTACTGTCTACACTTCAGCAGTGCTTTGTTTGAAATTATTGAAATCAATGTATTAAGTGCATATATGGTTGTTTTCTTTCATGGTATGAAACAACAAATACAACAATTGAATTTGTACAAACGAATTTTTTTTTTTTAAATTCGTAGTACGTCTCAGTAATAAATATCAAATTTTTATAACGTTCTTATAGATAGCAAAAAATGTAGGTAACAAAACTATGAACGCTTTGATTGTATTGGTCTGTTCACGAACTTAAATAACAGTTTCTTTTCCACTTTGTTTCACTAGAGTTCACATGTCATCTTTTTGAAATTCTTTAACTTTGTCCACAAAATGGTTGATTTGTTTAGTACCACAGTACTTCCTGTGGAAATTACAAGTTTAGTACTTCTCTGACAATGTTCCGTTGGGAGTTGTATTTCAATTTGACATCCTTTAGGCTCATAAGGGCATCTTCTATTTCATCTATGGTGCTGCTCATAATTGCTGTTGTATTCTTCAGGCTCCGGTTGTTCAAACGTTGGATAGCGCTATTCACTGGATATATCACTGTCCGGCGGATAAGTATTATGGAAATCAATTGCGTTATCCACTGGATAGAGATTTATCCGGTAAATAGCGTTATCCACTTTTCGAACAACTGGGCCCAGGAGGTTTTCGATTTCATTTGTAAATGCAGTGAGCCACAATTCCGATTCCTTGTGTTGAATACACAGTTTGACAGAGCCTTCCCGCCTGCAGTTGATGATCCTTTGTCGCACTTTGCAGTTTTGGCATCTCACTGACTCGCCTGACTCATTCCCAATTCGTTTTTTGCAAAGTTGGCATGCACTAAAAATGCTTAAACTGGCAACATATTTTAGTTGACTTGCAATGCAAGGACCCACTAATTTTTTGAGAGTTGTGGTTTCCTCACTGTAAGTTGTATTCCTGTTGGTGCTAAGGAATTTTGATCCTTGATAATACCGTAGTGTGAAGTTTTGAAAGTAATAGGCCTTGTTGCTTTTCAGTTGTGTAAATAACGGTTCCCATATGTGGAGTTCCATTGTGCCCGTTTCGTCTTCCAATATGCAGTCTTCTTTGACAGATAAAGCTTGACTGGATTTGGTTTCTATCTTGTTTGGCTCCTGGGCTCCCATTGACAGAGTTGCATGGACGTTGACTTTCTGATTGGGCGCCATTTCTTTCAGTTCTCGTAAAGAGACATCAGACGCTTCCTGTGATGTTAATTCGGAACGTTCTGACTTGACAAAATTTGGTACACAGGAGAATGGTACATCAGCATTTGCACACTGCGAAACATAGGATTGCTGGTTGAAAAGCCAGTCGTTGTCTTCATCATCTGGTATAAGAAGGTTCTTTAACAAGACGGGAGACTTGGTTTCTTGGAAGTTCTTGATCTTGGGATGTTTTGTTTTGTCAAATCCAACTACTCTTTGCACTTTAGTCGGTGAAACTTGCAGGTGAAAGTCAAACCAATCATGTCTGGAC